AATGTTAGAACAAGGCCAGGTCTCGTTTAGCGCAATAATAGACACATCAGTTAGGGTTACATTAGAAAAAAAGTTAGCTCTTGTGGGAAGACCTTGGACATTCTGATAGTAAATGTCTAGGTTACGTATCTGTTCCGGCATTATGGAAGAGAGGCGCTTCGAATACCGCTTGCTATGTGTGGCTCTCATTCAGCTGACCTGTCAACTCGTTGAAAAGGCTTCCCTCTGGCCAGAGAAGGGGATCAAAAAGTTTCTCTATTTCTTCATTTGCAGCCATCACTCGTAAGGACGAGTAGCTTTCATGCCGTGTCTTCAGTCGGGTGCACGCAAGCTCGCGAAGAGGGCCCTGCTTCCTAATGTGGGTTTAAAGGCTCGGAGGATCGCAAGATGGGCCGAAATGCGTCATGTGCACAGCGTGTTGGCGACGTGGTGGAGAGGGTGGCAGTGCCACAGGTGTACAGCTGGCTGACACACTTGCCCTCAACAACGGCCGTCTTGCCCTGGGGACCTTTGGCCCCTCCTTGCGGAACCCAGCCCCATTGAAGTTTGATGGAGCTTGATGGCATGGATGCCCTGAAGGTTGGACAGGGTCACCAAAGGAAGGGGATGGTGGCGGCTCATCGCCGCAGTTTAGGAAAAAGGCAGCTGTTTCCTGCCGGCCGGTTCCATTGGTTCCGAGTGTTACGCACAGCTCCGAGCTCAGTCCGCTAAGACAGTATGGCACTTGCGTGCAGCTGGGAGGTATACCTATACCCTTGGCAGAGCTGCGCGTTCTCGTCATGAAAGAGCAGCGACCTCGTGTGTGAGGAACGAGATCCCCTCGAGGGAGTTGAGGAGGAGGGCTTGTAAGGATTTCATGTCTGCATGAGGACCGCCTGGGGAAGAGGAAGGTTTCTCCGAACGAGTGGAAGCAGTGGGGGAGGGCGGTGCGGAGTGGTGGCTGAACGACGCTTCCGTCAAATCCGGCCTGGCTTCTGCTGTTAGGACTAGCAGCCCCGCTGATGTTTTGCAACTCTTGCAGATTAAGGAGCTTACCCCAGATTGCAGAAAGGTGGTCTTATTTTCCGTCCAGCAGGTATACTTGGTGTGGGCACATAGCTGGCACCCTGAACAGTGTAGAAACAGCAGTATTCCATAGAAGCAGCGGGAGCAGATTCAGCATGCGTCCTTTGCTGTGCGCAATAATAATAATAATAATAATAATCTTTTTATTCACACAACGCTTTCGGTATGTCAAATGACGGGTCCGTCTAAGCCGACAATTAATAATAATAATAATAATAAAAATAATAATAATAATAATAATAATAATAATAATAATAATAACAGCATCTGTCCTTGCTGGGAGCAATAATACTACTACTATTACTGATAATAAGATTACTACTACTGTTAGCGCGTCAGGAAATACAGCGCTTTGTAACTCGGGTTTTTTATAAGAGACGAGAAACGTGAATACATTGTTAGGGTACAGGTTGCAGACGTCCGACCCTAGTCGGCGTGATGGCGTCGCGCTCGACAACAGTTGTTGCTTTGCCGGAAGAAGGCTGGCGGCTCTGGCCAGTGTTGCCGCTTCCGGCCGCAACACTTCCCCCACACTTGGTGGAATGGTGGAACTACAAGTCCAGCCGCTCGGGCGGTCGGTGTTGTTGCACTGGACGCTGCTCCTTGCTTGGCTCCACGGTGGCCCTTGAAGTCTCTGGAGCCACTGAGGATTGGCCCCATTCTAACGTTAAATCCTCATTGCGCTCACTGGGTTGGTGCAGAGGGTCAGGTGTGTTGACCTCAAGCCTCAGGCGTAGCTGGTCATGATGTCTGCGGATCATCCCACCAGGTGTTTGCACCAGCGCCATGCGGTTTCCAAGTTCTTACGTGATGGTTCCACTCAGCCAGCGGGGTTCATTACCAAAGTCCCTTGCACAAACAGCCTGACCTCGGCTGTTTAGTTGCTGGCCATGCCAGTGGCTCCCTACTCGGTGGCATGGGAGCCGCCCGTTGGCACACTGTGCACCGGTGAAGCAACTCTTCCACCTCACGGTCAATGCCTGGCCACCACACCAGCGTGCGTGCCAGTGCCTTAGTTGCATTGACTCCCTTGTGAGTATCATGAAGCTCCAATAGAAATGCCCTCCGTGCACATTCTGGAATCACCACTCTTCCAGCCATGCAGATGAGGGCCCCTTCCAGCGTGAGTGCATTACGATGATGCCAGTATGGCTGAAGGCAACTGTCCAAAAGTCTTTTTGGTCAACCTCTGCTGATCGTGTCTTGTAGGCTTTGCATAATTGGGTCCTTCCCCGTCAGGTCTTCTAGCTGTCGTCTGGACACTGGGCTGGCGTCCAACATGTCCGCTGTGAAGACCCCCATATCTTGGGCTTCTTCGGTTTCTGCTCCATCTGGGGCAGTTGCCATCGGCAGACGACCGAGTGTCTGCGTTCAGGTTTTGTGACCCAGGCTTGTACTTGATCACATACTTACACGCTCCAAGCGTTAGTGCCCACCTCTAGATGCGTGCCGCAGCCATGCTTGGAATCGATTTGCTTTCTTTGAACAATCCCACCAAAGGTTGGTGGTCTGTCGTCTGTCTTTAGGGTGAAGCTCCTGCAGAGAAGGTAATCCCTAAACTTCGTTACCCCAAAAATGAGCGCAAGCGCTTCCTTCTCCAGCTGCTAATAGTTCTTCTCAGCCTTGGTAAGGGATCCTGACTGGAAGGCGATAGGCCTGTCGATGCCATTCACGCAGTGAGACAGCACTGCTCCTAGGCCTTCTGGTGACTCATCACACTCCAAAATGAGTTCCCTACTTGGGTCATAGTGCACAAGAAGGTTGGACTTCTGCAAGGTTGTTTTCGCCCCGTCGAATGCAGCCTGTTCTTCTGTTCCCCATTTCCATTTCACCTCACTCCTCAGCAGGTTGTGGAGCGGAGCCAGAAGTGTAGACATCATAGGCAGGAAACTCCTTTAGTATGTGATGAGTCCTAAAAAGGACCGAATTTCTTGGAGGTTGCGAGGTGCAGGAGCCTTCACGATGGCGTCCACTTTCTTTTCTGATGGATGCAGCCCACGTCGGTCGATCCAATGTCCGAGGTAGGTAACCTTCACCAAACACACATTTCTCTTCCCGCAGTCGGATGCCATTTTTCCTGAATCTCTGCAGAACCTTCCGCAGCGTCTGCCCAAATTCGTCTTTGCCTTCTGCCACCAAGACATCATCCAAGAAAACCTGCGTTCCCAGAATGTCCTTCAACAACGCCTCCATTTTCCTTTGGAAGATCGCTGGTGCTGAAGCGATGCCGTATGGCAGCCGGTTGTAGCAGAAGAGACCCTTGTGGGTGTTGAGCACTGCTGCCTGTCTGGATTTTTCATCTAAGGCCACGTGGCAGTAGGCTTCCCGAAGATCCAATTTCGAGAACCAATGGCCATCCTTCAGAGGTGCAAAGATGTCCTCCACTTTGGGAAGTGGGTATTGTTCGATGTCGCATGCCATGTTCAGGGTTACTTTAAAGTCCCCACAGATCCTGAGACCTCCATTGGCCTTGGTCACTGGCACTACTGGCGTTGCCCACTCGCTGTGGAATACCAGAGACAATATCTCCTCTTTGCACATTCAGGCCAGTTCTTCTCCTACCCTGTCACGTAGGGCATAGGGAAGAGACCAGGCCTTGCAGAACTTGGGGTTTACCTCTTTCTTTAAGTTGATGTAGGCCACAGGTCCCTTCATCAACCCCGTCCCCGGCTAGAAGAGATCCTTGAAGTCTTCTTTCAGCTTCTTGACCGTGTCCTGCACTTGGTTGTCACTTGTTTGCATGCTCCCAATTAGATGCTCTTCCAGGAGGTTCAATGCTTAGATGACGTCTCGACCACACAAGGATAGACCCGTACAATCCACAATGTACAGTTGTCCTTGCACTTGTTTGTTTCCATACCTTACTGGCATCGCCAGGACTCCCAGCACTGGTAGTTTCCCCAGGTAGCAGTGGAGCTCCTTGATAGTTTCCTGTAGGGGTGGCCAGACCTTATCATTCTTGGAGTATGTGTCCCTAGAAATCATGCACACGGGGGAGCCAGTGTCAACCTGCATGGTCACTTCTACTGTTCCCCACTGGAGCACTTCGTTGACTGAATCAACCGTAGCTTTTGGAGTGTGCACTGTGAACAAGTGGAAAGCCTCCTCTGCCTGTCCTAGCTGTGCTTCTTCCGTGAGCAGGTTGGCCTGCTGCTTCTTTCGGTTGACCGCCGGTGTCGACTGAGTGCGAAAGCACCGGCTCGCCAAATCTCCCTGCTTGTTACACGTGAAGCACGTCGTTTTCTTGTGTGGACAGTTTGGCTGGTCATGAGAGCTGTCTCCGCAACAAATGCAGGGCTGCGCAGTCTTCGTCCGAGACGTTTCCTGCTGACGTCCCTTGTGCTTCTTAAACCGCAAGGCATTCACGTCCCCTGCAGTAGTGCGTAGCGAACTTGAGCCAGGAAGCCGGTCGGCGTTCCGCATTGCTAACTCCGCAGCCAACGCTGTGTCCAGCGCCTCTTTGAGCGTAAGTTTCTTTGGTTTTGCCAGGAGGATCCTCTGCACCGTCTTCTCGCACCGTCCGATGACAAATCGGTCCCTTAGGTTGTTGTCTAGAGCGTCCCCAAAACCGCAGTGGTCTGCGATTCTCCGTAATTCGGCCAGGTAGTCCGCGACGCTTTCCCCCTCATTTTGCTTTAGTGACTGGAACCTGAACGTCTCATAGATCTCGGACGGTTCCGGACTGAGGTGCTGCGTAAGCGCTTTCATGATCGTGTCGAAGGTTTCGTCTCGCGGTTTGTTTGGCGCCACCAAGCTTCGCAGTCATGCATAACTTCCGGGCTAAAAGCGGATATTAGGATCGAACGTTTCCTACCGTTGTCCCTCACCCTGCTGGCGTCGAAGTATGCCTCCAGTCGCTCCACGTAGTTTGTCCGATTCTCCACCGCCGGGTCATACTGGATCGGCGCGGCGTAGAGGGCTTGAGCTTGCGCCATGGCGGCCACCGCTTCTCCTTTGTTCCCGGGCCCCACCGTCACACCGACTAACACCACTTAACGTTCATGTACTGGCGTTCGGTTGTCCTCTCCTTATCCCATCCTCGTCGTCATTGTTAGCGCGTCAGGAAACACAACGTTTTGTAACTCGGGTTCTTTATAGGTGACGAGAAACGTGAATACATTGTTAGAGTACAGGTTACTGACGTCCGACCCTAGTCGGCGTGATGGCGTTGCGCTCGACGATTGTTGTTGCTTTGCCGGAAGAAGGCTGGCGGCTCTGGCCAAGGTTCCCGCTTCCGGCCGCAACAACTACTAATAAATTCATTACCACAGACATCGGCTCTCTTTAAGAAAACGGGCACATCAAAGCAAATAAGGTGCTTGTGTGATGCCACCCTGCAGTTAAAAAGTCAAGCATAGCATAGCATAGCCACTCTAAACCTAAAAATAAACACATGCACATAAGAGTATTGAAAAAATATATGATACTTTTTATTTCCTCTCCAGGGAGCGGAGGGGCAAGGACAAAAAGCTGCATTCAGCTACTTGACGAGGTCCCTGCCCCGATTGAAACGGCAGAGAGAGCAGTGATGACAATGTTTCCTAATCACTCATTTACAAACCAAATGAAATAACAAATACAAAACTACACACATACAATAAAATTGGAGCAGTAGTCAACAAAAGACGTGAGATTTTGTTAGTGAGTGTCAGTGAGCGTCATAAACAGGGATATCACGTGGGGCTTGGTGACAACCTCAAGTATGACGTGATATTGAATCAATTTGTTTAGTAAGTAAGCTAGATTGTGCCTTTTTGATTCATGTCCATATGTTGTTTGAGATGTCGGCAGAAACCATGGTTCTGCATGTCGTGTATTATGGCTTGTGAGATGCTTGTTTAGATTAAAAAATTCAATTATGAAGGTGTTATTTGCGAGTAGGGCAGATCTGTAAAGGCACGTGAGTCTTAGTTTGTATAGGAAAGATATATTTAGGATGTTTAACTGCTGCAAATAATTAGCAGTGCTCTCATTCTATGCGAGATTTGCTATTATTCTAATTGACTTTTTCTGTGCACGAAGGAGGATATGTGTGTTATGTTTATTAGTTGTACCTCATATGGAGATTAGAATATGTTAGGTGAGGAACAAAATGAGCCATTGTATAACATTTTCTTAATATTGCATGGTAGGCTGTATCTATGTTTATTTACCAGCCCATTTTTTACCAGCCATTCGGCTTTGTTCGGCATTCGGCATTATTACCAGCCCATTTATTTACCAGCCATTCGGCTTTGTACGGATGTGATTAATGGTATGATAGTCCCATGCGAGGTGTTCTGTAAAATGAACACCCAAGGATTTCATTTCACTTACAACTTCTATTTTCTGGTTGTCTAAATGAAGATATGTTGGCCTACAAGTTAATTTGTTTCTGGGTCTATAGAAAATCGCTCTAGTTTTATAAGGGTTTATTTGCAGACAGTTTGCAATGATGTATCTTTGCAAATTTCTAAAAGAGCTATTTGCTTCTGAAGCTATATCAGTCGGGTCAGTACCAGTAAAAAGAAGTCATATCATCGGCATAGGCTATTATTTTTGCTGATGTCATTATGTTGATAATGTCAATGTAAAGCATGAAGAGAAGAGGGCCTAATGTGCTGCCCTGGGTCACACCTGTTGTAATAGTGTCAAGTGGAGATAAAGAAAAGTTTATACAAACAGATTGAGACCGAGGCTGTAAATAAGATTGAATTAATAATGCTGCGCTTCCTCTAATACCATAAGCGTGAAGCTTAAGGTGTAGTATATCATGATTTATGTCGTCAAACACCTTATTAAGGTCAATAAATATTCCAGGTATGAGTTCTTTCTTCTTAAATGCTTCAACAATTCATTCTTTTTGTGTTAATAGTGTGGTTTCTGTCGACCTGTGTTTACGAAAACCAAATTGTGAGTTAGATAGAATATTATGATTGTTAGCTCTTAAAAGCCCATCATGTTTATATCAGTGATAGGAACATGAAACTCGCTAGAAATAATGTTTATTGCTGCACAAGCACAAATAATAAAAGGTATGAAAATACTAATTGAAAGCCATTAATTAGGGCATGGGAATATTCTTCCCTCTGGGCCTTCAGTGCCACACATACTCTTGGTGACACTTGGCAAAACAGGGCACCACACAAAGGTGTACTTTGCAAGTTGTGCATGTGATCTTTGATCTTTTGTCATTTTTGGCCGTGGAGCAGTACCTACACCTCTTGTAGGCTGCTTTGCCCTGTGGGTAATGTGGCCCGTTGGACAGGTGCACCTCATCTGGCACGCCAAGGTTTTTGTTGGTACTTGCTTGCTGCAAGACGCGTCGAAAAGCGGTCGTGGCTGACCTTTCCTTCCATTATAGCCGTTGGCCAACTGGCGTGCAAGTATTAGGAGAAAACTCTGGTGGTTCGCCTCCCCCTCTGACAGCTGGTAAAGGATGAAGTTATTCACAAGAGCACAGTCCAGAAGAAAGTAGAAGATTCGCATCCACCATTTTCTTGACTTACGAGTAACGGTGTGATACTCTCGCAGCTGATCAAAGCGGTCTACTCCCCGCATGTGCTTCGTGTACTCAGGCGTGGAACGGCTGCGCCATTTGCGCCATTTTGCACCAGACGCATGTGTCTGCGCCATCCTGCGCCATGTTGCAGAAACTGCGCCACAGCCAATACCTCGCGCCATTATGCGCCAAATCGCAAAACGTGCGCCAAAAAACTCTTTATTTCGTCTTAGTTTCGGTTTCTATCGACTCGATTGGCAACAATGAGGGCGATTAGCCTGGTCGGCCTTGTAATCCTTTGTTGTGTTTATTCCCCCTGTCTATCCCGAGTCGGAAGCGCGCGAAAAAAACTCGGATTCTAAGCGCTACACGACCTGCGACTGGATTGTTATTCTTCAACCATAAGCGGTAGGGCAAGTCGGCCGAGGTGAGGTCGAGTCGTTAAGCACCAGATTGCATGAGGCTCTGCGGCTCGGGATCCGGACGCCATCCAGTCGAAAGCAAATGAGCAAAAGATTCCTTTTAGTACTTCATCCTTAGGAGTTGGAACCGCATTCTCGTAAGATAAATCGTGATTCGATAGAACTGAAACGCGGTCCGATCCGAAACCTCTCCGGCCAGCAGCTCTTACCTTGCCGGCCAGCAGCTCTACTTATCTGCTCGGCGTACTTTAACCTTGCTCCTGCTTATCGCTTCAAATACGATAACTTCGTTAATCGTAGCCTGCTGCTTCGATATCGAGTTGCACAATGGGATAAACTCGAAATTTGTTGCTCTGCTCCTCCGTGCAACTGCATGTCCGTTGCTTACGCTCGTCACGTGGTTCGCACATATAATTACTATGTCAATCACGTGCGGGTTGTGCGATAAGTAGTGCTGGTTTGCATTTTGAGCAGCCGAAAGCCACTAAGAAAATATTAAGGACGCTATCTTCAGAAACATCAGGTACTAGCTTTTTGATTCTCATTAAGGCTCACAAAGTTTCAAGTTTTCGCATCTATTACACTGTTATCCCATCTGCCTGGGTCCCTAACCACTGATGTTCATCTATGCTCCTCAGCAAAATTGAAATTGTTCCCGTGCTTATCTAAGACACAAGCTGAAGTGCAATGCAAACTGATCTGAGCTGCTCCTAGCGTTCTCCAGAATGTAGTTTTAGCTGCTCCCAACATGCTCTAAAACGGCTGTTTCAGCTGCTCCCGTGGCTGCTCCCAAGTACATTTCATGAGTTCCACCCCCGTGTACTGCACAATTGCTAGTGGACACTTGATGCTTCTCTTTGACGCGTCCTTATTTTTCTTTTCCACTGTTACCGTCTCTGAAGGATCGTGGTCTGTTGCTACTACGTTGGCTAGCCGCTTGTCTTGCCACTGGATCGCAGCAACATTTCCCTTCACCTTGTAGTTGTGGTCGCCTTCATTGATTTTCTTTTTGTTCTTCACAACATCAGGAAGACCTTTTCTTTGTGCACGGACAGTTCCCACGGCATATATCCCGTGGTCAAACAGGTTTTGCATGAGTTCGGGTGAACTAAAAAAGTTGTCGAACACTACCAGACACTCCGTCCCGACAAGTTCCTCAGTGAATTTCTGGATTACCCTGTAGCCGAGCCCACCGCCATCGCCCTCTTTGCCCGTGTAGACTTCGAACTGGTTAATAGAGCCAGTTGTAGCATCAGCAAGCACCCATACTTTGAACCCACATTTGATAGGCTTCATGGGCATGTACTGTTTGAATGACTTCCTTCCTTTGAACAGAATCATACTCTCATCAATTGAGTGGTATGCAGATGGCTGGTAGCTAGCTCTGAATGTTTCGGAGAGCTCTGTGATAAGAGGTCGAAGTTTGTGCAAAGGGACATGGCCGACGTCTCCTTTTCTAGTCGCTGTCTTGTTGTCGTTGGCATGCAGTGATCGAAGAAGCTGAAAAAGTCGTGCTCTTGGCATCACTGGGCTAACTGATGCCACTCCGAGGTCGCTGTCCGTGGACCAGTAGTCCCGTCTGTTTTGAAGTTGAAGAATGCCCATTCTGATGAGAATATCTAGGAATCCTTTCATTTCTTCAGCTGCGGTATCCTGCCAAGCTTTCGTTTTGGTTTCTTTGGCGTATATGTTCGTTTGCTCAACGAGTATAGTCAAAGCACCTCCGAACAGGGCATCAAAGATCATTATTGGCGTGTGCGTTGGAGGAAGCTTAGGAGTTGCAGGTGTTTGGCAGCAATAATCGGGAATGTTGCTTCGGTGGGGAAGCGAACGTATTGTCCACTCACTTGCAGTCTCTTCATCATCACTGGCGTCATCACTTGAGTGCACATCATACGCACTCACCTGTGCTGCTCCTTGTGACGCTGTGCTACTCGGCTGGACTTCCGAACGGGTTACCGCACCCGACGGAACATCGTCGCCGTCTTCTTCTTCCTCGCTGTCACTTGACTGATTTGGGTCATCAGGCAGG